GTATTTTCTTGGACAAAGATTAAGGTCCGCATCGGCAACTTCTCTAATGTGATCGAAGTCTATTAGTGTCCAGGCGTCGGGCGCAGCCTGCTATCCGGTGGATGCACAAATCATTTGACATTGTATAGTAAAAGAAAGCGGCGAGAACTAGTTCTCTCTTAGGAAAAACCTTAAAGAGTTCATGACAATTCGATAGTTCTGTTGATCTATTTATCTTTTCTATCTTTACCACATTGATTCTTCTTTCTCTAAAACATACTTGATTACTCGTAAATTCATGGTTATGCATTAAATTTTGGATTGTTATAGGTATGAGCAAGGTTGTCGCCCCCAGCCTCAGCCATTCCTACCGAAGTCGGTGAGCCTCACTGTTTGACGCTGGGCTCCGCTTCAATGGATTGGCTTGTCTACTTCAGTCAAACTTATGGAACGATGTTAATTTCATAAATTTTGCTTTTTGGATTAAATGTCACTTTAACATTTTCACAAGATTGTTGTTTTTATCGTATTGCGTATCCTTGTGTTTTAGTACAAAAGTTTTACATGTCCCGTGTAGCAATTACACGACACGCTTCCCCTAGTGGTATACTAATAAGGGAAAATTTAGTCCGGATGTCGGACATCCAAAGTGATGGTCGTTTGCGTGAATATCGATTTCTACATGCCCGCTTTTGAGCAGCTTTAGTCGACACTCAACCAAGATTCGTGGCCAATTGAAATTAGGCCATAGGATACGCTGGACCGGTTGCAACCTAAGAACACCGCTTGAGTGGAGCGACGAGAGAGAGAAAATTTCGTTTTGGACATCCGGTGCCCTCGAGCCACAGCTTAGGGTCCGCCTCCCTCTCATGCGCGCAAGTACGACGCACGGGCCCCACTCACATCTTCTTCTTCCTTTTCTCCTCTTCTCTTCTTCCATTGCTTTGAGTAGTAGCCACTCATCCCGCTGCTGACCAAAGAAACCCCCAAGAGAATGTGTCATCAACCATGGTAGGCGCATGGATCGAAGTGCGCAAGAAGCGCCGGCAGAGAACAATATCATCCACATAGAGCAACATGTGGGCTTGAACCTCGTGAATAAGGAGGTATCGACTTTGCTTCAACAAAACCAAGAGAAAGAATGCCGCAAACCACCACGAGGAGCGCCATATAGAGATTTGTTGAGCCACCAGCAAATTCGTGTTCGCTGCTACCACAAACCCTGCGATAGGAAGCGCTTGTCTCATGAGTGTGCAAGAACGCATTCTTCACATCCACGCCCGGCCATAGAAAGAACCACTCTATCGTCACTATCAATACCGGTCACCACGTCCTTGTAGCGATCGCCATCGTGTGAAGGTCCATGGCACAAGAGTCGGCGTTGTTGGCGATCAAAGCATCATACGCAGACATAGCGGAGCGCCAATTGGGATCCGATAGTGCTCGCCACGCGCATATAGCCGCAGCGTGGAGACAAGCAAGCAGAGCAAGCGGGCGGACGGGCAGCGGCGGCGGCGTGAGCAACGGGCCGGCGGAAGGCTGTCGGCCGCGGCAAAGCAGAACCGGCAGCGCGCCGAGCAGCGGCGGAGATCGGTCGCTCGATCGAGCCATAATACAACAACGAAGCGAAGCCAGCAGGGTGACCAATGAGGCAAGGCTAAGCTTACGGGCCGTGGCCATGCTGCGACGGCGGCATGGTCAGCGAGGCCGAGCCAAGCAATCGAGCTCCGTGTAGTGGAGCGGTGAGATCACGACGGGCGGATGCCATGGGTGTGGTAGACATGTCGGCGAAAGGGAAGAAGGATTCATCAAAAACGACTGAGGATGCGATTCGACTCGAGCTCGAGACACCGAGGCTCTCAAAGAAGCAGTGGAGGACTTGTTGGGATAGCAATAATGGCGGTGGCGCGAGAAAAAGATTAAAGTAGGGAGTGGAAGAGGCAAGTGCTTTGGTGGGAAGCCGGCGACAAGGTATGTGGCGGTGTTAAGGGCCGGCGGAGGAAGACGTATCATTGATAGTGCAGAATTGAGCATTCGGCCTTGCCATTTTGTTGGGAGGTATATGGACAGGACATGCGAAGGGCAGAGTAAGAAAGAGCGTGCGTAACAGAATTGTCGAACTCCCACCGGTCGGCCGAACGTTCTTGATGGTGGTGAGCCACCAGCTGAACATATGCGTTGTGTTTTGCTCTTGAGTCCGCGGCGTGCCATCTAAAATCGTCCATTTGTATCCCGACACACGCAAGTGGAGATGTCCAAAGATCACGAGTAAAAAAATTTAGAAAGGAGAGAGGAAGGAAGTCTAGGGACCGCAAAACATAAACTGATGATCGGAGGCGCGTCCCGGGACTCGGAGTCCGGACGACGGTGCAGGCGCGGGCCAGCGCCGGCGCGCGGTGGCGCGGGTGAGCCGAGGTCGCCAGAGCTATTGCACCGGGCGATCACGTTCTGAGGTGCGCAGAGAGACCAAACGGATCAAATTCAATGGAACAATTATTGCGACGGCGCGTGATCTGGAAATCAAGTTCTTAATGATATGTGGAGGAACATTATTAAGAGATTAGGTGGAGGAAAAGAAAAGTGTGGGAAATAGCGGTGATAGGAGAAAGCAAAACAGAAAGAAGGGGTGGAGAGAGGTGGGGAGAAGAAAGCGGCAGAGCCAAGAATATCATTTCATCGCTATTCTCTCTCCATCCTCCATGGCTGGGGTTCAACCGGTCCACGGTGTCCCTCCGTGTGTCTTAATTTCACCCAGAACGCGCGCGAAGGCCGGTGGCGGCGGCGGGCGCACCGTGACTAGAGTGTCTTTATGGCAAAATGCTCCAAAGTAGATGTCCGTCAGCAAAGGACCATCGCTTTGGATGTCCAACAGACAATTATCCCTAATAATAAAGAAGCTTCCAATCCCTGATTACATTAGATTTCGTGCTCTGCACATCTTGGAACAATGTCTGCAAGGATGTATCATACCGTCCAAGGGTGGACCCATGGCTGATGCTCCCCCCAGATCAGAATCCTCTTGGTGCTCAGTTCTTTTGCATTCCTGAAAGAAAGAATCAAAGTATCCGTCTCCCTAACACTGCCTCACTGTTTGAATCTGTCTGGGCTCCGGTTGGTTCTTCCAATGGATTGGCTTATCTACTTCAGTCAAACTTATGGAACCATGCAGCTGGTTAACCCTATCAGTGGCAAACACATTCAGGCCCCCCCCCCCAAGCTGCTTAAAATGAATGAGAGAAACTTAAAATAACGCGACAAGAATCTAGCAACTGGTCGTCTGTTGAATCAAAATTCATTTTGGATGATATCATCAAGCATAGAGGTCGGCTGTACACGTGTGATATGTATAGTACAGTTGAGATGTGGGCGGAGCCGCCCCATGCATGGCCAGATGACATGCATGGCCAGATGAGGAAGTCACGCATCGGTGGAGGTTTCGCTGTCTTATAGAGACCCCAGCTGGGGATCTGATTAGGGTTAAGCGCCTGTGTCAGAATAAGTTTGCTGTTTGGATATTGGACAAGGGGGCCTTATGACCTTATCCTGGGTTGGAACCGAGAACATTGGGGATATTGCACTGTTCGTGAGCCACAACAACTCATTCTGTTTCCCTGCCAGTGACCACCCCAACCTGAAAGCAAACTGCATCTACTTCATCGACATGTACAACAACCTGTGTGCATTCAACCTTGAGCATGGGACCAAGGAACTTATCCAAACTCTTACGATCGGCCAAGGCCAAGGGCGCAATGACTACTACCGTCAGCCTCAGCGAGACCAGGTCTTATGGTTTATCCCTTCACTAAAATAAATAGGTAATGGTGAAAGTTGCGTGTCCGTTTACCCCTAGATGGAGCCCATCTAGTATTGTAGGCTCCTATTGATGGCCATTTATCCCAAGATGGAGGCCGTATAGTATTCCGTATTTCCAAAGTATTGGATGTCGCACATGCAACCGCAGGTTTATGTATATGAACTTCTGAAGTATCGAACATCTTTGTAATTGTGGCTAAATCAACTGTTTGAACTATTTGCAGTGGGGTGTATGTGAATTTGAAACTTTCGTTTCAGGCTGTAAACTATTCCAAATGTTTGTGACTTTCCTATTTGAGGACTGAAAAATCTAGAAAGTTACTTCCTCTATTTCAAATTATAAGTTGTTTTTTCTTTTTTTAGATGCAATAGTTTTTGCATCTGGAAAAGCCAAAACGACTTCAACTATGAATGGAGGGAGTAGCTAGTTTCAAATAGTCGAAGCCAGAAGGCTTGCTTCTGCTTCTTCCCTGGTTAGTGAGCAGCTGCCTAGCCTATTGAAGCAGTAACATTACACTAAGCTATGCTTGCTGCTTGTACTTTACATAAGCTTGGTCCTTGCATACAAGCTTGTACTTTACATAAGCTTGGTCCTTGCATACGTGCATCCCATGACCCAACACTACTCAGCAGCAATTGTTGTTCCATCCTTTGCAATGCTACGACTGAAACACCATGTTGCAGGGTGCTCAATTGTTATTCCATCCTTCGCAATGCTACAACTGAAACGCCATATTCGTGGTACTTGCATTGCATTGCAGGGTGCTCAAGCCCAGGTCAGGTGTTTGGTCCTTTTCTATTCGTACATATGAAAAGTCAGAAACGCGGTTTCAGCTTTCAGGTAAGTTGGTTTTTAAATTTATGCTCACATGCCCACCTTCACATACCACAGGTTTGTGCCGTGTGAAGCGTGATATCATCCAACGCGCTTGAGCAGTTGGCTAGTAAAAATAACTCTGGCACAGTCACGCTGCTTCTCTGCTCTTTCTGTGAAAATGTCTCTCCCGCAGGCGGCTACTTGTATATAATTCAGCTTCTGCTTGAGGGAACGAGGGGAGCTCGATCGTGTCAAGTCAATGCAACAGAGTCTACTGTAGAGTTCTGCAAGAAAGAACACTCTCCCACACTCTGCCGAGACGCCCACAGCAGCTGCCGGAGCTCCTGCCACCTCCCGGCCACCAGCGTCCACGACAGCGCTGCCGTTGCTCATGGATTCCGCGACCTCCGCAGCCGCGCAGCCGCCGCAGGGCCTGCATCGTGCTCGGCACGTCCGGGCACGAAGCGGCTGCGGCTGCGCGCTCAACCTCGTGCTGTTCCTGGCGGTCAGCGCGAGCTTCGCGGGCGCGGCGTACCGCGCGCGCCACCGCCCGCGCGACCTCGCGTTCGTCGGCACCGCCTACTACCTCCTCGCGCTGCTCGTGTGCTGCGTCGCCAAGCTTGAGCTCCTGCGGGACGACCCGGCGGCCGGGGACGCCCAGCGCCGGCGGGCCAGGCTCGCCACGTGGGCCGTCTCCGTGGCGCTGAGCGTCACGTTCGCTTCGCGCGTCGCCGATGCCATGCCGATGCTGCCGCTGAAACTGGCAGTGTGGGGCATCACCGCCGTGTTCCTCGCCCTGGGGCTCTACTTGCTTCTCTGCTGCCAGGACGCGGACCGCCGCGGCGCGGAGCCCCGGCGTGAACAGGAGGACCCGGGCAGCCGGCCGGCGAAGGCCTCGCGCGAGCTGTCCCCGGAGGAGATGGCCTGAGATTTTCAAATTTGAACCCAATTTCGGAGTACGACTGATGCAGGAAAGGATAGAGCAATTTCTTTACATTACCATAATCACAATTCATACATGATTATAGTACAGGAGTCCAAACTTTGGGAGTTGGCACTTAAGATTACAGTTTGAAGTTATCGAGCAGAGCTTTGCTCGCAAGGTCTCGTGAGAAGAAGGCCCCATAAAACTCGGACATGGTAAAGTTCCTGTACTTGGGCGGGTTCTCTGAAGAAACCAGCTCTGCCAATGGTCCCTGGGTTCTTCACGTGTGTTCATGACCACCCGATGCTCCACACTCGTGTACTTGCCATTAGACATTATCTGATGTTGAGAAGTAGTGGAAAAAAATCGGATGAAATCGTGATATTCCACTATTCTAGAGCTGCTCACCAAAGCTCTCTATATATTTACCACACTGTAATCATACTTACCACACATGATCTAGGTGAACTATGTATATAATAAGCACTGAGTATGCATATGACTTCAACATCTACTCCTATCTTATCGTTTTTCTGCGACCGTGCCTAGGCACGTATGCATATAATCAACAGGGAAGGAATTTGCGACCTACATAAATTTACTTGGGAGTAAGATTCGAGAAGATTGTCACAGAATTTTACAAGTGCCGATTATTACATATTGAAACAAATTCACGACTAGAACCGACAACAGCCTGACGGGAAAAAGAACATCATCAGTTGAGTTCTTCACAGTTGCCAGCAGAACTGGCTAAAAGCCACACATGTCCTATGTTTTATATGCTTCGAAACAAACAAGCGTTTCTTTATCATAATTTTGTTTACAGAATAGCACCTTCCCTCAAAGCTTCGAAAGGGATGAAGTATTCAAGGAGGCTAAGGGAATACTCCCTCCATCAACAAAAGATGCAATTCTCGTTTTTTAAAGTCAAATAATTTAAACTTTAACTAAAGTTATATAAAAAGCATTCATGATACAAAATAAATACTGTTAGATTGATTATGAAATATTACAAATATTAATATTATTCAAAGTATTCATTACAAACTTGGTCAAAGTTAAACCAGTTTGATTAACACAAATTTCATAATTGCATCTTTTCGTGGATGAAGGGAGCACGTACTACTCCAGCCGTACTTATGTGGTGTTTGACTTTATGCAATCAAACTTTTGAAATAACTCCGTATGATGGTAGACAGTATTATACTAATAACTCTTAAACATTTAGTGTAAAACATATGAATTATATATGTAGATTTGCCTTAAAAAAACTCAATTGTAGTTTTTATTCATACATTTGTTTGCCTAATAAATTCATAAATTTATTCTAGAAATAGCAAGCAATGGTCAAAGTTCTACAACAACACTATAAAAAGCCAATGGCATATAAGACCTAAATAATTCCCAAATGATAGAGATTCAACTAAATCGGCATATACAGTCTATATACTACGGGTATGTTTGGTTCACCTCTCCTAAAGTTTAGCTACTAAACTTTAGTCACTTTAGCTACTAAACTGTTAAACAAATTGACTAAAAAGGGACTAAAGTAATTTAGTCACATTAATACCCCAAGGAAGTAGATGCTAAAGTGGGCTAAAGTGTCCAGTGGACAGGGGCTACCCCTCATTATAACCGGTCCCCCACCCTGATTTATGCATTCACTAGGGGTAGTTTAGTCTTTGTTGAACTATTTTAATGACCTTTAGTAACTTTTAGTCAATAGAACCAAACATGGGTGACTAAAGTTTAGTCATTGATTTTAGTAGTTAATTATAATCCCTTACCATGTTTGGTTCTAGGGACTAAAATGGACTAAAGACCATTAAGGCAGATGAATAAATACCAAAATAACCCCACCACGGATGGTCCCTACGCAACAAAGAGGAGAGAGGGAGGGGCATGGGTGTCAACTTGGTCCATTAGTCCCAAAAAGCCTCACCCAAAGGGACTACAACCAGTCTACACTACCAGAAACGTCAAAATTGCCGAGTGTTTTTAGGTTTGCCGAGTGTATTCCCTCGGACATTCGGCGAATAAGTTCTTTGCCGAGTGCTGCGCTAAAAACACTCGGCAAAAAAAAAAAAAACACTCGACAAAGAGAGGGTTTGCCGAATGTTTTATGTTTTGCACTCGGCAAATAAATAAAACCTTTTTCTGGGAAAGAGGGAGAAGAAAAAAATGAAAAAAAACTTTGCCGAGTGCCCAGATCTAGGACACTCGGCAAAGAAAAAAACCTACTTAATTAACCGGATCCGCCCACGCCCTCTCTCCTCCTCCCTCCCCAAATCCGCCCCGCCCTCTCTCTCTCCTCCTCCCCAGATCGGCCCACCCCTCTCTCTCCTCTCTCTCTCTCTCTCCTCCCTCCCCAGATCCACCCGCCCCTCTCTCTCTCCTCCTCCCTCCCGGCGGATCTCCGGTCCGATCGCGTGGTTATTATCATCAGATAGTAGTAATTTTCAAAATTTCTAAGCTCAAAATACTCCACCTCTGCTAAAAAAGTTGTAATACTCGTAGAAGTTAAACTATTTTAATTATGATTGAGTTATATAAAACAGTATCAACTGTTATAATATGGTTCTCAACAGATACACAATAAAAATATATTACATGATAAATTTAATAGTACTTTCTTAATATGTTAAATATTAGTAGTAACTTTTATAAAAATGATTAAATAAAAAATATAGTTTGACTATGTACTATAGCTAAAGGTGCACTTTTTTAGGACGAAGAGAATGCTAATACCTTGGCCAATATATTGTGTCGCCATGCTATACAAAAAAAAAAAGATTTAACATATACTCCGTTACAATAGATAAGCAGAATAAGTGAGATAAAATGGGCCTACCGACTGAGACAAATAATTGGTCAAGCATGTGGGTATTAGTATTTGGATTTTTTAGTGATAGGTGACGTGGAAATTTCGTTAAATTGACTCACTCTTTTGGATGTAATTATAATAAGGACAAATGCACATTATATATATGAGTATATGACATTTTAAAAAAGAAATAAATCATTATACGCCACTGACTAAACCTTAAATTCAATGTATGTCACTTTTTTGTGATTGTGGGGTCATGTGTCATACACATAGTAATGATACATCAAGGACTATGAGTTTCCTAAATGGGATATAAAAAAATTGCCCTAAAATCACAAGTCACAATTGTTACAGTATTTTATACCCCCCACCTAAAAGAAATTACAAACATCAAAAAAGCACACACACACTCACAATCATAACTACTATAAATTTATACCCCCACTAAACAAAAAACTGCATACGAAACATGCACACAATAGAAGAGAATAGATGCAATTCTCGTGCGCAAACCGTAGGGGGGGATCAAACTCACCAGTTACCACTAAGCAGCAAAATCAAACTCAACAAGCATCATAAAAAACACATGGCCATTACAGTCAAGAAAACTCTAAAGACAAGAATACCTTTGTCAACATACAACTATTCTTCAACAAGATAATAGGCTGTCTCTCCCTTCTATACAGGGAAGTGTGTGACTAGAGGGAGAATAATACTCCCTCCCTCCTGAAATATATGATATTTATAAGGTTTTAGATGAATTAACTCCCCAAAACACCAATAACTGTGTGCATATCATAAGTGTCGACCACCGAACTCAAAATATGGTAAGCAAGACCTCTTTATAGTTAAGTGAGGGCTACATGTGTCATTTGATTTACCCAATAATTTGTCCTAGAATTTCTAGGATAACTTATATCCTAGGACGGAGACCGGAGGCAGGAGAAAAAGTCGGTGCTACAACACCCAGCTATCTCCAAACAACATTTAATTTCCTGTTATGGATACTTAGGGTATTACCGTGTTACCAAATATGGTAGAACCTAGATCATTGCACAAGAAACTACAACAACAATATGTACATGGAAACTTTGGAATGCAGTAGTTTTAGTTTTGTTCCAATCCAACTTCTCTAACTTTGATCAATTTTATAGGAAAATGTATTAGCCTACAACATCAAATTAGTTTCATTAAGTCCATCGTAATATATCTTCACGGTGCACTTATTTAGTATTGTACATCATATGTTCAAAATCATAGTTTACTTTATTTTAGTTGAAAGTCAAACTTCTCTAATGTTGACCATTTTTAATAGAAATATGTCAACATATATAACTTCGAATAAATGCACTATGAAAAATTAATGAAACAAACTTGATATTTTAGATATTGAAGCATTTTTAACAAATTTAGTTAAAATTAAAGAAGTTCAACTTCGAACAAGCTAAAAATAAGCTATAATTTTGAATGGAGAAAATATGTGACAATATATTTTTCTATAAACATGCTTATAGTTAGAGAAGTTTGAGTTTATTATTAAACTAGAATGACTTGTATTTTGATACAAAGGAAGTAACTTTTGATCTAGAATTAAACAAAGGAAACAATTGTAGGATACGAAGAGAACTAGGAAGGCCATGAAGGTGTGGCATCTTTGGGTCTGTTGAGATAAGTCAACTATCATTTAACTTTGAAAAGCCGCGTACAGAAAATTCAAGCGCTGCGTTGAGTGATTTGGTTTGTGAATCTGTTCCTAATAGTCAATTACTCTATCATTTATTATTCTAAATAAAATTACTCTATCATTTGGTCAGAAGCATCCGTCCTATTCGGCTGGTTGAAAAAACGACTGATGCTGATTTATTTTAAGAGAGAAACGCTGTTATTTTACTGAAAATGGCGGCCGTGGAAAACTGGAAATGTAAGGAGGAAAAGACGCGCTTGGCCACACACAACGGGTCAACGGCGCGACACTGCTCTGCACTTTCTGTGAAATTCCTTCGGCTTGTTCCGAGCTTCCGGCGGCCTGCTGGCTGCTGCCTATAAAAGGCAGGGGTCTCCTGTGGAGCTTTCAGTGCAGTGCATGCAACAAAGAAACACGTGCGATCGCAACACACCGTCGATCGACGTCGTCGCCCGCAGGCCGCAGCCGCAGCTCGAGCTCGCTCTCTGAAGA